CTCACCGACCCTGATCCGTCTTCCAACTAGGTTGCTCTGTCAGAATTTACTCGGACAGCTTCGGAGACCAGAATCATCTTACACTCATCGTTTATTGACACTCTTCGAAGTAGTTCGTCCAACTTGTCTTGCACGTCTTGCCTCTCCTCCACTGTTTCGTCTCTCTCCCTTCGACGTCGTTGCTCCTGGATTACTGGAACAAGGCGTTCAATGATTCTGCTGGTGTCTGTGATATCGGTGATGATCTCATTGATTTTTGTCACACTGATTGAGGTGACGGTCTTGAGCGCTCGTACGAATCCAGGCATCATGCAATGTTCTTCGACTCTGATCCAGAAGCGAATGATAGCTTTGTAGGATGCGACCAGGAGATCTTTCATATGCTCAGACTCTGAAAATAACTGCTCATACTGCTTTAGAAGCCCCAAGTGGTGCGTAAGAGACTTGAGTTGCCCCTCGAGCTGCTCGAAGACTTGGTAGTATCGTCGAAAGCACTCGACAACTGCCTTGAGACCACCCCAAATCAGTGCTGATGGGTAAGGGTCTGCGCTGCACAGGATTCCAATGATGCCATCGTAGTCGTGAATTGCATGAAAGATGGGCTTCAGCTTCTGCGCCCGCTGGGAATCAAGCTTTTGCCATTCCCTCAATTTAGCGTGAACATCGTCGGGATTGGCCACTTCCCCGTCAAGAATCTTTTGGATAAACTGAGGAGTCTTCCTCTTCGTGTGCTCGGGAATTAGCTCATTGAAAGCTTCCGAGAAGGCTGAGCCTGTTTGCCATGGTCGCTCCATTTTGTCAACGTCCCCAGCAAAATTTATCAGGTCATGTAGTTACTTCGTGGCGGACAGAATGGAGAACAAAGACAATCAAACCACACGCAACTGAGGGTGAGACATCGTCAATATTCATACAAGGTCGGGTTATGAGACGAGACAAAGAAAGCTCCAAATGGCTGTAGCATAGCGCTGTTCATGTTCTGGAATGTCCAAGTAACTCTACTAGTGTGCTACACCCATTCATAACGAGGGAATTCTGTTGCCGAGTGTCGATGGCCTTTTGGTGCAGACGTTCCCTATTTTGGAGCTGGTGGCTGCAGCGGTGCAGCCTAATCTTATGATCGACCCTGGCTCGACCTCACAGCCTGCCTTGCGTTGCAATGGCTGACCACCATAAAACCAAAGGTGCTGCAGATTGCGGTCTTGTGACTGGACATCGATGTCCTCGCTTGTATGACAAGCATGATTACTGTTAGAATCGATATCGCCCCTTGCCTTGCGCGCCAATTAGACTATGCCGATAGGCGCGTGCAGTTTGGGCTATCCAATGACACCGCATATGCGCTTTAATCGCTTGTCGTGGTGGCAGATGCGGCAATAGACATCCATTATGGCTAACCAGCGATGCCTGGCACTGCTTGACGAGGCCATTTTCCGCTGTGAGTCGGGTTCTGGCTGATGATAGGGGGCGATCCCACTTACGCATAACCATACATAATGAAATTCACATATTGGGATCCGATGTCTAGCCTTGTCCCGGTGTCTCTAGTTCTGGTCTTAGCGACTTATCAAGTCCCCTCTCTCCCCAGCCATCCATTCCCGAATCAAGGCAATTCAACTGCGGACTCGTCACAATAAAGCCATGGGGGACAACGAGAAGACAGAGGAACTTGCTGGGGGTGATTCCAGCTCCCAGGGCAAGAAGCTCCTTCGCGTTGATCAATTCTTCAGTCGGTAAGAGGAGCGCAATCTGTGCGAAGGGAGAGTCAATCCTTACATCGGTCAATTCCGCAGGAAAGACCGGCAATGGCGCTACGTCAAGACGGCCAAGGTTAGAACTGAGAAGTTCAGCAAATACTCAATAGTGGTACGGCGCGTTATCAGTTCAAAGGGGCTGGTTGCGTATGAACGCGTCGATATCAAGAGTCCCAAGCTAGCGGAGCTTGTAAGAGGGCTTCTTGAAGGGTTGGGGAATCTAGAGCTTTCCAAAAGCCCTCCTGAGGCTGGTAATCCCTCGTTCATGCTGCGGACACAGGTTCCTGACTTCCCGCAGCTATCCCCTCAACAGTTCTACCACGCTTGGTCAGGTCTGCAGGAGCGTTTATCCGAAGAGATAGCCAAGCCTGATCGCGCAGACGATTTCGTCAAGGATCTCACCACAGCCTTGGAGTTTTTGGATGCCGACTTTGCGAAGACTAGATCGAACATGCAGACGCTTTTGGAATTCGGTGACATAGCTTACGAGCTACTTTGGGCACTTTTCACACCCCGAGCAGTCGTTTATACCGAGGATAACACTATGAAAGAATCACAGGCTTACCTCTTCTTCAGCGGAGAATACGTAGAGACAATGATGGGTGAGAAATGGTACCAGATTGAGGGCAAGATGCTTCACCACGATGGTGATTCATTCGGCTGGGGATTTCCGATGTTTAAGATCCCCCACTTTACGGGGACGAAGAAGATCACCAGCCTTGCCTCCTTCCCGCTGGATTATCACTCCGGGAAACAGCAAATTCAAGAAAAGCTCGTAGAACGGGGACGAAGGTATGTCGACATTGTGAAGCAGCCTGTTTGCCTTGAGTACAATGGCCTTGCTGTCAGGCAAGATACCAATCTGGACGGAAAGCCCATGGAAGTCCAGTTTTATTCAACCGGTCGTATCATGGCGGACCCAGCGACATTCTACAGCCAGAGACCTGGCGAAACGCTGATAATCAAGCCGTGGGTTTATGGAGATTGGGAAGTCGGTGGCAAGAGCCTCACAGACGAGGAAGTCATGCTTAGCAACCATCTAGTCCAGGGATTTGGGTTTACGCCGAAAACTTGGGGTGGGTTTGCGGTATCCAGGACGCAACCGGTTATTTGGAATATGAAAGCGTTCGACAAGCTTATCATGAACGAGAAGAAAAAGAAGATGATTCAGCTGCTCGTTCAAAGCCACAGGACCAACGAGACAGACTTTGACGACATCATCGTCGGCAAAGGTAAAGGGCTTGTTGGTCTCCTGTCAGGACCGCCTGGTGTGGGGAAAACCTTGACGGCCGAGGTGGTGGCGGAGCTGTCGCGGAGACCGCTGTATGTCATCTCAGCAGGCGAGCTTGGAACGACAGTCGATAAGGTCGATAGCCAGTTGGGCATGGTGCTTGACATCACACGGCGATGGGGTTGTGTGCTCTTGATTGACGAGGCCGATGTCTTTCTTTTCAAGAGAGGAGAGGCACAAGTTGAGAGAAATGGTCTCGTCAGTGTGTTCTTGCGCAGACTTGAGTACGTTCATTATCAATGTATGTGTCTCTCGTTACTGACAGATATTTCAGATACTTTCAAGGCATTGTCATCTTGACAACGAACAGGAGAAAAGATATCGATAGGGCGTTCAACAGTCAGTTGACACCTACCCTGGAAAATGACTTCCCAAGCTTGTTTGTCAAGCAGCGATGGGTTTTTGGTTCAAGACTGACCTGGTTTCCGACACAGGCCGCATTCATTTTCGATTCCACTACCCTGCGTTGAGTGAAGCAGACCGCCTTAGGATCTGGCAAGAAATGTTAGGCAACGTCGCGGCCCTCGTTGACAAGCTACAGTTCAGCGATGCGGATCTGGGCAGCTTGGCTAAGAGACCGATGAATGGTCGCGAGGTAAGCACTCCTCTCAACGGCCCAATTTTTCCAGCCTAACCTCTTGTGCTGTTAGATCAAAAACGCCGTGTCTTCGGTCGCATCAATTGTGAGGGCAAACAAGGAGACTTTGACCGTCGAGGTAATCAAGGAGATGTTGCAGTCGCTAGTCGACGATGTCGAGTCAGACGACGAGGATTGAGTGTTGTGATGAGAGGGATGGTTGGGCCCGACATTTTATGGCTGCAAGGATGAGGAAAGGAGAATCATGGTAAAACGCGGAAATCTTGAAATATTTCTCGAACACGCGGTTTGGTTTGCAATCCAGGGTGGACATATACATTCCAGATGATGAAGCTGTAATTGCTTGGGCGCTTCGTCTCTCTAGTGAGATCGTGACCGCCCTAAGGATGTTGTAGCAGAGATAGATAGGGGGCCAAAGACATATTCCAATTTTGCCAGCCAGCGGTGTTCGTTGGTGGCGGGCGGCGGGGTTTGGGGTTGGCCGAGTGGTTCTCTAGCTAAGCAATGATGACTTCTCAGAGGCTGCGACCGTCCGGAGTAAAGGAGTCAACGATATGCATTGCTAGGATCAATTGTACCGATTATTCCAGTCTGATTTCCAATCCTTTTTATGTGACCCCTCGGCTTTACGCCGACCACATCCGGGCCCGCTTCGGCGCCTCGCCGGCGCTCCCATCCGGACACCCGACAAGGCCACCGGTCTATGAACAGGCTGCTGTGTTGCTGGAACACAAACTTGTGGATGCGACTGGATGCGTAATTTCGGCAGTCATTAAGTTCAAAGAACCCGTGGGAATCGGGACGCAATGTGGCGTTGATCCTTGCAGATATCCAGGTATGGACTCGGTCGAGAGCATAACCCAGCTCATGCGGTCAGCCCGGTCCGATATCCTGATTCGAATGCTTAGCAGGCCAATCGTATAGCGCGTATAGCGGATAATACAGTACGAAAATCGCCATTATCACAGTCACGTTCTATGAGCATGCTCTCGTGGACTTGTCGCTTGCTGCTACTTTTGTCCTCGTCCTCTCAGGCAACCGGCCGAGAGAGGAAGCCGCGCTGGCGGTGGGGCCGACACGCACGTGAAAAAGAAGACACGTGCACCTCACCGAGAGAAATCTCGGTGAGAGGTGAAAAACTGGCCTCCACACACTACCCAGTCTGGGTCACCAACCACTCGCTAAAAGCCCGACACTGTTTGTTTGACTCTTTCCTACTCTCGTAAGGGCCTGTAAAACACTAAGGAAGTTAGGTCTTGTCCTACTCTACGTCTGCTATTGCGCTTTTCTCAAACTCATATACCTCCCGCTATCAACTCTTACCAACCACCATGCATCAAAACAACGCCAAAAAGCTTGATCCCCACCCGATTTGAACGGATAACCTTTCGATCTGGAGTCGAACGCGCTACCGTTGCGCCAGAGGACCTTTTGCAGTCTTTATTGCTGCTTGTTGGGGGTGTGAGAAGATATTTCGGCATATAAGGGCTTTGTGGAGTGAAATTCCCACAAAAGAGGGCCGTGCAACACTCAGACCCCACTTGGGAAAGTGCCTGCTGCGGGGTCGACCCCATCAGGACGTCCACGCGCCCTGAACCTTACCACCCACGTGGATGTAACACTTGACATCACATGGCTGGATGCAAGTCTCCGAGACGAATCTACTCTTCAAGGAGCGTTCCAATGGAATCTCCGAGGCCGGTTTCATATACCCGCGTCCCCACACGTTTCCCGTGGGCGTGAAGAGTTGTCAAGACTCTTGCGGAATCCGCATATCGTCCCCACGGAGCTGCCCATCAAGCAAGTCCAGCTTCGTCCCGCGCAATCCCACAACCCGTCCGACAATCCGATGCAGGCGGGCGATCGGCATGCATCCAAAATGTGAAACAGGCGGCTAGGTAGCTCGTCACCAGTTGGTTGGGGGCGTGGCCGGTGGCCCGATGGTTTGTGGGTTGCCCGCATCGGAGATTCATTGCCGGCTTTGGCAGGCGACAAGAACCTGCTTGTGCGACCATCAAATCTGGACGCGCGCACGGCCGTCAGCATCTGTCTTGGTGCGGTTGTTGTCATTTGTGCTTTTGATGGTTGGCGGCCACGCGGTCGATTTGAGCGCGTTCAATGGGCGTGCGAAGCGATGACTTTGGGTTTTGCCTGTCTCCACTGATTGATAAGTGCAGATTACAATGCCAATATCAATGTGGAACTTGCCGTCTTGTATCATTCACAGGATTGAAATCACATGGCCTTGGGTGGTCCCACTATCATCATGAGAACTTGGACAACGCATCAATCGAAGGAATTCTTTTATGTACTGCAGAGCCTTGAGAAAATATCAAGTCTCTCGCCCTGCCGAGTATAAGATATATGCATGAAGTCGTCAAGCAAGCCAACCGGGCCGCCTCTCAATTAAAGTGATAATCCTCGCATCCCCACCATCCCTCGTAACTCCATAGTTTCTCAAAAGACCATAATATCCCAAAAGACAAGACATATAATACGGTAGAACATGCCTACAACGCAGCCTTGGCGAGGTTTTCCACAAAGCTGCCATCCTTCATGGGCACGCCGGCGCTGCCAAAGTCGGTGTTCTGGAGGGCGTTGCGGGCGGCGTCGGTCAGGGACTCCCACGCGATGAGGGGCTGCTGGCCGCCGGTCTCGCTGGTGAAGATCATCTGGTGGTTGACGGGCCAGATGCTGCGGTAGCCAATGCGCGGGTGGGTGGTGCCGGTGAAGTCGACGTCGGACGTCCTCCTGTCGTAGCCGCCGTGGGCCGAGGCGGAGACACCCACGATAGTGGCCGAGGCGGACGCGTCCGACAGCCAGACGACGGTGTTCTCCCAGTCGTGGCGGTGGCCCAGGCCGGGCGAGGGCGAGTCCTTGGGCATGTAGTATGAGTACATGATGCCGTAGCGGCCGTTGTAGGAGCCGCCGCGGGCGTATACCTGGCCGGTGCTGGAGGAGCAGCCGCCGTTAGAGGAGCCGGAGGTGCTGAGACCACCACTGAGTCGGGTTAGTCAAATGTGCGGATGCAAGGGGGGGGTTTCTCGAGGGAAACATACCTAGTGTCTCCGGCGGCGTTGACGGCAGGGAAGGGCACGCAGCCGTTCACGACCTTGAGGTAGGGCTTGTACTTGAGGTAAAGGCTGCCGACGATGCCCGAGGGGACGGTCTCCGGGAAGCCAACAACGGCATCGTGGTCGATGACGGCGCGGCGCTCAATAGGGGCGGCCATGACAGTGGCGGCTGCGGCGAGCCATGAGGCGAGACGGAAGAGGGAAGGCGCCATTGTGGACGGACGGGTGGACAGATGTGCGATCTTGTCAAACGAACTTCTTCTCTAGTGATGCGGAAGTCTGAAAATGTCACGGCTGTGGGCGACGAGTGTGACGTAGTGCTTTGACTCGGAGTAAAGATGAGCTTGAGGGACGGCTGGTCAGACTTGCTCTTGCATCCGGCCAGCGTCGTTGTCGTCTTATACTCAGGTCTCTCGCCCTATTCATTCTCTCTTCGCGGCACGTCATCCGTATGCGAGACGAAGAAGAAGGGTGCCAACCAGGGGTCTAGTCCAAACGTGTAACCCAAGAGACCAATATTTCATGGCGCCATCATCCCGGAGCTACGCTTGTGGTCACTCGAGCTCCCTCTTTGGCCTTTCAACTCCGCTCGTGGCATGGCATGGCCACCCAATTGGGCCAGTCAGAGCTGGGCTCCTGGTGCCGTATGCCGGTGCTGGTACTGGCATCGCCATCGCCTGCTCTCCGCCGGCCAAGAGCAGGCGTGGAAGGCGACCCCCCCTTCATCACCCGTCCGCATCGTGGAGTTACATGCCGCAGCAGGCTGTCATCTGGCGGTCATGCACCAGCCCAGGAACAGAAGGTGGTTGGTAGGAGCTGCGCATCAGGCACCGCTGGAAACATGGCACGGATCAGCAATATTGAAGGACAGCGGGTTTGGGTGCCGAGGCGACCCCTGTCGCGGTTCCTGGATCTGGCATATCGTCCGCCGCCAGTGAAAGGCCATGCAACCTTGACCCTGGCCGCCTCCCCGCTCGCGATCGTGAAGAGCTAGGGAAAGTGTGGGAAGACTGAGACAGCTTGAACGCTCCCTTATTCCACCTCGGTGTTGATATTGGAATTTCCACTCGATGTGAGGGAGCCGTTCGGCGTTTCTTTCTGTGCATGCAACCCGACGGGGGGACCGCCTTGGACTAGCAGCTCAGTTCCACCACGTTTTCTTTCGTTGCGCCACTTGGGTTCGGCCGAGTGGGGGACCAATCGGGAATTCGGACAACTCCCGTGGCATGTCGACCAAGATCAAGGTACGGTTGCACAAGGCGGTCTTCTTCAGGTCACACAGGCACACAATACCACCCTATTAGCACGGTCAGAAGGTTGCTCATCCCATCCAAGCCGCGACTCGCGAAAATGCCCTCGCAGGCGCTGCTCACACTTTGCAGCCGTGGTGGGCGTGAAATGACAAACCGACTTTGTGTCTTCCAGCGTTGTGGTTGACGATTCGACCACGGGGTCGACGTTGCGGAGCCGACGACACACACACACACACGGTTTGGGTGAGGAACACATGCGATTGTGGGACCCCGCACAGCACAGCACCTCTTCGGATGAAATGAAATCAGGGATTGCGAGTTTCGCAAAGTGGTATAGAGGACGCGTCTAAGAAACAATTGAGCACCCCGGTATCCATCAGAGATGCCGAGGAGCGAGTTAGGTGTGGTCAAGGCGCCGGAAAGCCAATATTGCAATATGCTCGAGTCAGGTTCCGGTGCCAACGGAGGCTATGGCCTGTAACAAAAGCCCCCTTGGATGGGTCTTGGGAGGTGCTCATGCGGACAAGTCGTTTAAATTGCGTCGGATATCGGTCCCGAAGAGAACATCGTAGGCAAGGTGGAGAACACAATGATAAGGTTAAACGAACAAGTAAATGAAATGTTCGTCACCTGTATCGTCATAGCGTTGCCAGAGTGCGATACGGCCTCGTGACAGTGTGTCTTCCGCGAGTCAGGACCAATACGATCGTGCAGCATTAATATATAGATCTGACGAAGGATTGAGATGGGTATCACAAGCTTTCCGAACATCGTAACCGCAACCCCTGTACAGCTTTCGTCCTCCAAACCTCGGTATGGGGCGCCTCGGACAACACCCCTTTCTCATATCAAGACGGCCGTCAAAATCCCCATAGTAAGAAATCCGAAGCCCCCATCGCAAGGGAAAAAAAAAAAAAAGGACACCGTCTCAGCTAAAGTCCCACGATTCTCCCCACAACTCGTTCAAGTTCAATCCCAAAGCTTCAAGACTAAAGTCGGGATTGAACGACTGCGCCTTTGCCAACACACTGTCAGCGACGAGTGCTGGGGAGAAGTCGCTGTGGAGACTCACCTGCGGGTCGATGGATGCAGACATCCACGGCAGCGGCTGAGGGAGGAGCCCGTCGACGGTGTTTTGTGACGGCGGGTAGCCCTGGAAGGAGAAGGGCGTGACAGACTTTGAGATGGGAGTCAGCAACTGCTCGATACCTGCCGCCGCCGCCGCCGCCGTCGTCGCCGGGAGGGAATCGGGAGTGCTCACCTTTGGTCTCTCCGGGACCTCCAAGCCGGGAATCTTGGAGAGTTCCGACTGCTGGCTCGATACCGGGGGTTCCTGGTTGGCCAGCAGCTTGTAGTGCAGGTTGACGAACCGCTCCGCAGACGAGGCCTTGGCCTGTTCGGTGGTCTTGGTACCCAAATGCGCCTCGAGCAGGCCGAGTGCCGAGCACATGATGGAGTAGCCCCACGGCTCTGTGTTGCCGCACCGGAGGAGTCTGTCCTCCTTCATCGAAAGGCACTTCTCGAGAAGCTTGACGGTGTGTTGGGAGTTGATCATGATCATGTTGGTCGAGCCGCGCGGCTGCAGCATGGTGACGCTGCAGAGGTTGACGGCCGTCGTGAGGGCGTCTTCGCGGAGGAAGTTGAGGCATCGGATGCCTTGCTCGTAGAGCTTGTCGTGCAAGAGGACAATATCGCGCGCGGCGTTGTAGTAAATGATTTCCGAGTACTGATACTTGGCGTTGGACTTGCGTAGCTTGAGGAAGGGTTGGTGCAGAGGGATGATGTACTGGCGGAGCTGGATGTGCAGCAGGGTGTAGGCGAGGAGCGGCCGCTTGCCGCCGTGCGTGTTGCTGTTGTTGTGTTCCCAGGAGGGCAGAGAGTCGATTTCGTGTGTGATGTCGTTTGTGTAGCGGATGACTTGGTCGTAGTCAATCTCCCCTGGCGGTCCGCAGAGAAGCCGGCTCAGCTCCATGCGTAGGGGCAGACTCTGGCGGGCCAGGTTTTGGTACGAAGAGTACGTGTACTCCTTCCCGTGCTTGGACGGGGGCAGCTGGGTTGTGTCCTCGTCAAAGTCCTCGTCGTCCAGATTCCTTGGCGGTTGC